TCCTTCCTTCCTCCCATTTTTGGCAGTGTGCTCTGCTCTCCTGAAAATGTGCAAGCCAGATGGCAGGGGTTTTAGGAAAAAAAACACAGATGTGCCAGGGAAAATGTTAGAACAGATAGCTGCCGAATGGCTGTTGTTGTGAGTGTGAGATATTCTGGACGACGAGAATTCAGTGCCAGTGGAAAAGTTAAGAGTCCTATCTAAGGTTCCTCTCTATTGCCACACATTTCTTGTTCAAAATAAGCGTTCACATGATAGCTCAGTGGTTGAGGTCTCTGGCTGTGGAGTCAGAGGTTGGGAATTCAATTCTCCACTGTGCTTCCTTGATGGGGCTGTACTACATGATCCAAGGGGTCCCTTCCAGCTCTGCAGTTCTAAGATTAGCTCAAGGGTTCAGGTCTCTGGATGTGGAACCAGATGTTGGGAGTTCAATTCCTGACTGGGCCTCCTTGACAGAAGCTAGACTCAGTGATCCATAGGGTCCCCTTCCAGCCCTGCAGTTCTAAGAGGATGATGATGGTGATGATGATAAAGATTAGCTCCTCTTCCCTGAACAGAAGGAAACAGTGGACAGGTGCGCTCAGCACGGAATGGGTCCTGTATGGCTGTCACATGCTCATAGGTCTTCTCCCCCCTTTGTCTATCCCTCGTGACCCAAGTTTCCTTGCTCGGGGAATTGAGAGTTTTGGGTCTGGAGAGAGGAGATTCTGCTCCACCCTAAAAAAAGCCTTCATCCCTGAAATGATCATTTCCCAAGAAAGATGGGAAGATTTGAGCGGTGAGCTTGAGGCAGTTCTCCCGGCAGAACACAAAGCTCGCTTCACATAGGGCACCTCTTCGGTGCACCCCTGATGAACTTAGCGTGGCCATCGAAACCAGTGGCTCCCCAACCTTGAGCCTGCAGATGTTCTTGAGATGCCATTCCCAGAAGACTTCACTGGCCAGGACTTCTGGGAGTTGACGTCCAAGAACATCTGGCAACCCCAAAGTTCAGAATCTCTGATCCAAAGCATGCAATATGTTCCTGAGCCTGGCAGATGTTCTGTAAGACACATGTTCCATTCTTGCCAAAGAGCAAGGATCAAAAAAAGCAAGGATGCATGCCTCATTGTTTCAAATAGAACTCAGTGGCCTCTTGCGCCAGTTTTTTTCCCCCTCCCTGGCACCATGTGAAGAAGGGCCTCGGCTGCGCAATAGACGTAGGTGTGTGGACAGCTGTTCCTGAGGGTGCGAAAGCGAGCAAGTCTCTTTGTCTGCCTCGGGGAGGGTTTGTCATGGGTGGGAGGGACAGCTGTTGCTTGTGGAGAGGCCGATGTGTCAGTGTTGGGGCGTTTTGACATTCAGAGTGAGCATCTTCCTGAAAACACTCCCGAATGAGTGCGAATGTGTAATGGCGATCTTGTTGCCGGGGAGGAGAGAAGCGAGAGGCATTTCAGTTGTGGGGGGAAAGGGAATGTCCCCATGTCAGAGGAGGTGTTCCGTTGCATGGGTTGCCTGTGGCCCTTCCGAAGAGGACCTCGGCCGTCCTGAGTAGACTTTTGTCTAGAAGGGCTGGATATAAATCCAATAATAAATAAAAATAAATAAATAAATTTGAGGAGGAAGCCACCCTTGGAGGGAGAGATTGTGCATTCATAAGATGTCCCAGGTGTCTATGAAGATTGTATGTGGCCATGCAGGCACAGAGGTGCCATGTGCACCCATGTGCATGCGCCTTAGGGTTAGGAAGAGTGAAGCCATTCCCCATAGCCTAGACCTTTGAGAGACAGAACTTATGTGGGCGAACAACCAGCCCGAGTTCTGACTTCTGGTCAGGAAGACTTTTGTAAGAGTGAGTGAAAGTGATAGGCGGGGTGGGGGACAGAAGACATTCTGGAGGGGGGAGGAGGAGGAGGAGGAGGAACAGGTGTTTCAAGGGGGGTCTCCATGGGGCGTAGGGGAAGGGAGATGACATGGGGTGGTGCTCCCTGGCGGAGAGCGAGGGGTGATGTTCCAGGTGTGTGGGAAGGAGTTATGCGTGTTTCCATGTGTGTCATGCAAGGGGTGTCATAAAATGTGGGGAGTGGGAGAGGGAAGGCTGATGCCTCTCTTAGGGATGGGGGGGAGTTGGCTGTTGCTGTGCTGTTTTCCTGTGACAATTTGTTGGTGATGCTTGTTTCCTTCTCTCCCTCCTGTCTTTCTCTCTCTCTCTCTCTCTCACTCTCTCCCTGTGTATATGTGTGTGTGTCTCTCTCCCTCTCCCTCTGTCTCTCTTGCTCTCTCTGCACTGTGCTCCCCTCCTCTTCCCTCCCTTCACAGACTCTCCTCCTCCTCCTCCACCACTACCACCATCACCTCCTCGTCCTCCTCCTCCTCCTTCTCCTCGTCTCAGCTTGGTGCCTGGTCCTGGCGTGGCTGCCGAACGGTCCCGGTCGATCCTTTCCGAACTAAATGCCTCTGTGACCGAATCTCTACCTTCGCCATCTTAGCCCAGCTCAGTGCTGAAATGGTAAGTGCTGCCAAGCGAGCCTCTGAACCAGCAATGGAAGGAACCCTTGGCATATGCCGAGGAGGTGGAGAGAGAGAGAGAGAGAGAGAGAGAATGAGAGAGAATGAGAGAGAGAGAGGAGCAAAGAAAATTGTCCAGTGCTTGACATTTCAGTGTGACAGGCAATTGCCAGACTGGGTGTGTGTCTGGGTGTGCATGCATGTAGAACACAACTGTTTTGCATATATATATATATCCATATCTTATTTGTGTCTAGATGTATATTACACACAGCTATAGGCATTGCAGCGAGCACCAGAACGGTACAGCCGTTTTACATCTGTCTTTGAAAAACGGGTGACCTAAATAATAAAGAAAAATCAATCAGCCAAGATTATTGCAGCGTTGAAAGCGGCATCGTTCCCTTTGATCGGCATCTCCCTGGACCCATCCTGTTTTTCCACCGGTATTGGTGGCCGGTCACCCCTTTCTGATCCCTTTTTCCTCATGTACGTAAAATGCAATTTGGGCCGAGTGCCTTTGGCTAAGGGTGATGGAGGAGACGGAGGGGGGTGGTGGCTGCTTTGATTGCATTCGGGGCTCACAGGCCTTGCGTGGAGAGACATAATAGACATTATTCTTGAGAAGAATTGGGGAGGGGGAAGGAGATGGGGATTAGGTACCTAGTTGATCCTTCTGAGGAATGTTGGTGGTGCTTTAACTCTTTCTTGGCAGCTGATGCCCTTGATCTGTCTCTAGCTGGATCCCCTCTCCTCCTCCAGGACCCTTCCTGGAAGCTGATTTTGTAATTCCAAAGTGTCTGTGGTTTTGTTTCCGGCTACTTTGATGGCTCCTTGCTAGCAGGGCTTCGAAATGGGGTCAGAAGGGTGGAGTTGTGTTGGCGAATGCATTGCCTTGGATACGTTTGCAAAACCCAAAGAGATTCGGGGAAGGGGGGGGGGAAATTAGCCAGATCGGAGAGGTTGAGAACCGTTGTTGAAATGAACACCGGAACAAGGAAAGAACAGTCAAGGGCCAATGTCCAGACAGAGGACAAGCTTGGGAGAAAGTTTGTTGAAATCAACACCGGAACAAGGAAAGAACAGTCCAGGGCCAACGTCCAGACAGAGGACAAGCTTGGGAGAAAGAGACCCATGTTTCACGAATTGTGTGTGAACTTTGCAAACAGAGAAAGAACGAAACTGCCATCTGTGATTTTGTGTTGTTGATTCCCAACCCTGTCCCCAAGTGTTTAGCTGGCTCTGCTTCCGGGTCCCTGGGGGAAATGGTCCCGCTGAAGGCAGCTTATTACTCCCTGCTGAACAGCTACCTATCCTTCCGGGCCTTAGGTCTTGAAGGACCCTTCTTGTTAACTCACTCCTTCTGCCTCCTTCTCTTGCTAGTGCATCTTCAGGAAGGGAGGGTAGCCGAAGAGAACGGAGGAGGGGGCGTGGATCAGGGGTTCCTGGGGAAAGCAGGTTTCCCAAGATGAAGGTTGGGTTTATTATTAGAAACACTAATGTATTTGGTCCAGTAGTTGCCATAGAAACATCTGTACTGGAGTGGCTTTACCGATGCAGCCTTGCCTGTGCTTGTCTGAGCCCAGGGCAGGCCAAAACCCTGAACCCCTTTGCTTAGATCACAGCCCTTCCAGGAAGGAATAATGGTGCCGGAAATTTAGGGCTCAGAGGCAGAGTTCTTTTTACAGGTGATAGGGAGGGGGGCTTCTTTTTGGCTTGTTTCACCTGTGATGATGATAAGAAGGTCATTGTTTCCCTGTCAACTTAGCGGGGGGTGGTGGTTTCTCCCTCTCGTTTTCTCTGGATGGATGCATGCATATCTCATTGTAGGCCTTAGAAGAAGTTGTTTTTCCACACAAGTGAGGATCATTCCTGTCTCTTCTATCCCTCATTTGATCCCCTCCTTTTTTCTATTCTGGTTGCATACATCCACAGCAATGAACTAGGCTTTACAGGAACAAGTATGTATCTCATACTTCTTCTTGTTGTTGTTTAGTCATTTAGTCATGTCCGACTCTTCATGACCCCATGGACCAGAGCACGCCACGCCCTCCTGTCCTCCACTGCCTCCCGGAGTTGGGGCAAATTCACGTTGGTCGCTTCAATGACACGGTCCAACCATCTCGTCCTCTCTCATCCCCTTCTCCTCTTGCCTTCACACTTTCCCAACATCAGGGTCTTTTCCAGGGAGTCTTCACTTCTCATGAGATGGCCAAAGTATTGGAGCCTCAGCTTCAGGATCTCTCCTTCCAGCGAGAGATCCATACTTTTTGAGCTGGCCCTATTTGCTTGAATGAAAGTCCTCCATTCAGACCACCCTCCTATGAAGGTGCCTTCCATTTGAAGGCCTGATCCATACTTCTTGTGCTGGCCCTATTTGCTTGAATGAAATTCCTCCATTCGGACGACTCTGCTATGAAGGTGCCTTCCATTTGAAGGCCTGTTCACTCCACATCCTGGTGAAGAACAACAAGGGGAAAGATCAGGGGCCGTTAAGTTGGCCATCATCCTCAATGAACAACATCTGGATGCAGTAGCCACCAGATAGCTTGGTCACTTGATCATGGTCCTCCTCGCTCAGGTCAAACTCATTGTATTTTTAAAATTTAATCCGATTTTGCATCCGTACATTCTTGGATCTGAAGTTGCACCTCGACGTTGCTGCAACCCGCTTTATGTAAATTCTCCTATTTTGTCCTCTTTTTGAGGAGAAGAGTGAGCAACTGTCTGTGTCCTTCCTTCCCCTCTCTTCTCCTTCATTATGGCTTCATAAAAACTGGAAGGGTTTGTTTTCGTTTCTGACTAACTGTCAGGGTTTTTTTTGTGTGTGTGACATTTAAGCCCAGGGAAAACGTGGCATACCTTAACCATGGGCTGTGAAGACAACATGACTTCAGAAACTGGATTAAGAAATTGGCTTCTTTCAACAGCCCCTAGTTCAAAATAGCCAGGGAAGCCAGGATGGCACTGAGGTGGCGGTGGCAACGGGAGCAGGGAGGCAGAGGTGGTGGTGGGGGCGTGGGAAGGGGTCAGGAGGGCATCCCCTTTTTTGCCAAAGCAAGTGAAACGCCAAAGGGGAACAAGTTCAGCATTGTGTTTCGATTTGGCAAAACAGGATCCTCGAACAAGGTAGTGAAACGAACCACAAGCCAGCCCCGTTTGCTGGTTTTTTTGGTTTGTGGTTAGTTTTGTGCCCATTTCTAGTTCTGATGTCATGTTAAGCCAGAGATGAGAAAACGGGAAGAATTTTTATCACTTGCCGTAGGATCCCACCAGAAGCCAGAGACCATGAACTGGGAACACAAAACCCAAAGTTTCTTGTTCCTATATTGATAAAACCAACTTGTCATAATCTCCTCTGCCTGTTCTTTCTGTGCATTTTAGAAATGCACCGACCGAAATCCTGTTGCTTAGCAGAATAGATCACGCTAGAGGAGGGCCATTGAATCAGTGGGTATTTAGTGGGTCAATTCAACTCTTAAGTTCCGTTGATTTAAATGAGCCCCACTGCAACTTACTTTAGCATAGAAAAATTACCATTAGAGTAGGTCCATTTGAATCAAAGGAACTTACGGCACACCAAATCCCCACTCATTTAATAAGCCTAAAAGGTAAAGGTAAAGGTTCCCCTTGACAATTTTTGTCCGGTCGTGTCTGACTCTAGGGGGCGGTGCTCATCCGCGTTTCCAAACCATAGAGCCAGCGTTTTGTCCGAAGACAATCTTCCGTGGCCACATGGCCAGTGCGACTTAGACACGGAACGCTGTTACCTTCCCACCAAGGTGGTCCCTATTTATCTACTCGCATTTGCATGCTTTCGAACCGCTAGGTTGGCGGGAGCTGGGACAAGTGACGGGAGCTCACTCCGTCACGTGGATTCGATCTTACGACTGCTTGGTCTTCTGACCCTGCAGCACAGGCTTCTGCGGTTTAGCCCGCAGCGCCACCACATCCCTTTTTTAATAAGCCTACTTAGGGCAATATTTTATGCTAAACAACAGGATCTGGGCCAATGGCTGCTGTAATTAAAGTGTTGGCCAAGGCGTCAGGAGACCCTATGGATCTATGAAATCCCTACGGATCCATGAAATTCACCGAGGGGTCACATTCTCTTAGCTTGCACGGGTTGTTGGGAAGATATGGTGGGAAGAAGCAGAATCAAATATGACACCTTTTGCTCATTGGAGGAACGCAACCATACTAGATGAAATATATATTTCCTTGTAGTCCCACAAATGCCTCTGAGTGCTGATGGATAATTCGTGCATTTCTCTAAATGACCGCAACACAAAATGTTCCTACAAAACTTCAGTGAGGGTGGCATAAGCTGAGTTTTTTGCCCCCTTTCTGTGGAGAGCCACCCAAGAGCCCATGTTGTGAAGGGATACCTTCATAGAAGCGCCTTTTTCTCATACACATTTGGAAATGACTCACACACAGTGGGATTTGATGCACGCACAAGAAAAACACGGTAAACAGCTGTGGCAAAGTGGTGAGGCGCCAGGCGCAGGCCAGGCATGCTCCCTACTGTGTCACAAACCTGGCATCCCTTCAATTAGCTGCAATTAGCTACTGCTAACTAGCCCTATGGCCAGTTGGTTTAGGCCTCTGGCTGCAGAGCCAGAGGTTGGGAGTTTGATTCCCCAGTGGTGCCATCCGGGAGAAGAGCCAGCCTGGGTGGCCCTGGGCCAGCTGCAGAGCCCCAGGGCATCCCCAAAAGAAGGGAAGGGTCAACTACTTCTGAGGATTCTCCATTTGAAAAGGGTCACTATAAGTCAGAATTGTCTTGACGGCACATGATTATTTATGAATTCGCCACAAGAAAAAGCCACATGACTCCTTTGGAACACATATTTATGAATTTGCCACAAGCAAAAAGCCACATGACTCCTTTGGAACACATGTAAACTCTCAGCAGTTTTTGCTTGCTTGCTTTGTTTTTTTTTTTTTATCCTTTGTGTTTTCCAATGTACGACAAAGAGGAGTGCTTGTGTGTATGTT